CCCCCTTCCACAACCCCGGAGTCTCAAAAAACCCCTGAAAAGCTCCCGTTTCGTCCAGACACAACTGCACCCGCCCAGCACCCGGGGACCAAGAGCCGCCAAGGCAGTGGGGGGACACTGGAAAGGGCTGTCCCCAAAAGCGCTGTCCCCAGGCAGCGCCCGCACGGGCACTTCGGCACCGCCTGGGACGAGCCCGCCCCTCACTTGGGGTATTTAAAGCACGTGGAAGGCAAAGAAAAAAAACCTCTTGCTTTCCTCAGGGTCGGTGCTGTGCGCGGTCAGGCCATGGCCAGGCGCTGGCAGGCACCCAGGTTCAGGCTGCAGCTGGAAAAACCAGGGGAGACTTTTCTGATCCATGTTTTTTTCCCCATCCCATGCCAGGGCAGGGGTTTTCTCAGCACCTCGAGCCCCCCGAGCACAGCGGGACGCAGCAGTTCGAAACGCAGAGCAGGACTTGAAAAACCCACCTGGTCCCCAGCGCCCGACCCAGGTTCAAGGGCGGCTCGGGACCAACGCCACAAGGACAAAGCTGTCCCAAAGCACCCGAAAACCCACACGTCCTTCAAAGTGTGTCCAATCCAGGGTTTTTAAGGGCAGTCAGAAAGTTTCCTCTTCGTCCATGCTCTTTACCAAGAGCTTCAGAGGCTTTGCTGCGTAACTATCCAAAAGGGACCAGGCAAGTCCAGCCCGAGTGGGGCTGCTGCTACAAGGAAATTCCTTCGTCCATTAAAAATATTACAGGGACCCAGGCAGGGTGAAACTCGCTTTTTGAGTTAAGCCTTTTGTAGTTTAAGCCAAAAGGGTTTAACAACGAGCCTTACCCTTTGAGCTTTTTTGGCCCTAATTTTAATACACTTGGAGGGGGAAGGCAGGCGCTCAGACACCTCAGAAAATCCCGGCTTTCCGCAGGCGGTTTAAGTGACTAATGTGTAATTAAACAGCCTCGACCCCGCGCAAGGCAGCCCAGAGGCCTCCCAGCCAGCACCACCGCAGACCGGCTGCATCCTCGCTCCCAGCCAGGTCTCCTCAGCCTCCAGCACAGGGGTTTGTCTGCTCCCCCCGCTGTTGCCTGCTGGGTCAGGACCAATTCTGTCCCCTCTGAGGGACAACAGCTGGAGCAGACACCATTCTTGCCAAGGACACGCAGGACTTCAGGGCCATCTCCACCTTTCTCCACCTCAGCACCTGGCATGCGACGGTCACCGCTGCACACACAGGCTTCAGCTCCGCTTCCGTGAATGAATTCCCCCTCATTCACCTACAATGAGCAACCTAAATCAGCAAATCATGGCCACAGCTCAGCATGCCTGGGGAAAACGCCACTTAAGCAGCCTTACAGTGAACTGGCCAGAGCTGCTTTGGGGAAATGTGAGCTATTTATAGTTCAAAAAGAAAAACCCAACTATTAAGAAAACTAGAAATGCACTTCCCCTGCAATCCAAGCCATGCATAAGTGCAGGAATTAAGTCCTTCATGTTTTTCTGCAAGTCCTTCACGTTTTTCTGCCTCTGAGGCCAGGTTTCTCTCCAAAAGACCTGTACCACCTCGACCAGGTGGCGTCCCAGATGCACGAGCTTCAGACATGAAAATTAAAGATGTTTTATCAGTTCCATTACACCTGAAAAACCCTCTCTGGCCTTAAGGGGAACCTATGCAGGGTGTTGCTGTACACAACGCGAGACTCTCCCAGACAGTGTCAGAGTGTTCTCGAGAAAGGCCAGAGGTGCAAGAGGTCAGATGTAATTAACTTTTCACCATAATAATAATGGTAATAATAACACTATCTTCATTTGGTAGAACTCGGACTTGCTGTGCCAGGAAGAGGTCACAATCCATAACTCTTCAGTGATTCTGCTTAAAATGGTCCCTCACCCTCCGCATCTCAGAAACACGATCACCGACGGCGCTTCCGTGAGCTCCAGCCCGGCGTGCAGCTTGCGTTGCAATCCACCCTTCCCTAAGCGAGGAGAGAAACGGCACCGAGCGCGCCCGTCGCCTGCCTCGGCAGCTGAAGACAGGAGGCAGATTTTTGAAAAAAAAATTATTTTATTGGAACTCATCTGAACATCAGATATACCTGGTGTTGGTTAGCAAGAACCGTTTGTACATTTGATATTGATGGTGCCAAAAACCCAAACAGTGACTGACTGGATGAGATGGAAATTAAAAAAAAAAAAAAAAAATTTAAAAAAAAGTCGGAGAGGTTAAAATGTGAACAGAAAACAGAAAAATCAGCCAGTCTAAGAGTCAGTGTGAAGGCAAAATATTTCCTGATAAAACAGAATCCTTTTACAAAATATAAATTTTGTAAGAAAAACATGGAGAGGGAGAGAGAGGAAAAGAGAGACAGAGGGGAAAGGAAAAATAAAGATCAGCAGGACAGAGATGTGGAAGCTTACACTGCCCAAATGGCATTAAAACCTAGGTAGGAACCTCACCGTAAAATGAAACATGCTGGAACACCCCGCGCTCCACCCCCCACCTACAGGACTTGGGAACAGTAACGAGGAAGCTCCCCAGCGAGTGCTGCTCTAGGTTATTCCAGAAGGGCCAAGCTGTCTCACATCGGATGTTGAAAAGTTAAAAAAAAAAAAAAAAAAAAAAAAAAAAAAAAAAAAAAAAAAAAAAAAAAAAACCCAAACACAAAGCAAGAGGAGCAACTCCCCCCGGGCCCACCCCCCCCCCCCCCCGCCGCAGGAGGTTTGGCTCCCGCAGGGAGGCGAGGACGCGGGGAACGCCTGCTCACCTGTTCTTCCTACCAATGCAGGTGGGGGGGGGAACGGATAAAACATTTAAAATCTAATCTATTTTAAAACAATAGCATGCAATGCAGGCCTCCCGGGGAAACCTGCGCTGTTCCCTTTATTAGAAACTGGCCTAATGGTCTAGAGAGTGGCTGCAGCCGTCTGGAGGTTTTTGGCTGCGCAGGGTGGGTCTGGGCTAGCACAGCACAATGACAATTCTGAAGCAGGTTCCTCGGGTGCGAAAGCCTTCAGGAAAATCATTGTCGAGCTGCTTTCGAGGGGATCTGAGGCCTTGAAGATTTCAAAAGAAGCCAGCAGTCTGTACATTTCGGGTTTTTTTTGGTTCAGTACAAATGGAATAAACTTGGCTGCTTAAACACGGTCAGTAAGTCTCAGATTTCAGAGCAGAGGGAGAGATGAAACAAACTTGTCTTGGGCACCTACTGGTAACAAAACTTTGTCCCTGCTTAACTCTCTGCCATCCCTCAGGAAGTGGAAAGCACATGTTTAGGTAGTGTAAGCCTTTTTCCTTTTATTTAGAATACCCTCTTTGTTTAAACAATATTCCCCCCCCCAGATACAAAGTTCGGCCAGTAAAGATTACATGGAAACTGGAACACGCATCGTATGGAATACAAGATGCACTGGATGAGGAAGTTTAAAAACTTTCCGAGCGAAAAGTAGAACAAAGAAAAAAAAAAAAAAGTCTCCTAACATTTTCCCAAAGGTTTCACTCTCCTGTCACACACACTCTCCAAATGACAGCTAGCAAATTCAACTCTGCAAAAAGAAAACAGAGCCACGTCAATCGAGAGGAGAGAAAACAAGCCTCAAGGACGCAACCCGCACCTTGGCCTGGGAGGAGCGACAGGTCCGGAGCAGCCGCGACCTCCGGCTCCGGCCTCCACTCACCTATGTTAGCTTCTTGGCTTTGTTGTAGAGCGAATCCACTACTTTGCTCATATTCTGAATAGTCTCGAGGGCAGCTTCGTAAGTTTTGTCTACGGGGGGTTCGTCGAAGATGATCAGGACGCCCTCGCCTTGGTCAAGGATGCCTGTGGACACAAAGCTGCGGTTACCAGAGTAACGCTCAACAGATCGCATCCTCGAGGCAGCAAGAATTTAGGGATCTACCCAGCAAACGGCCAGTCAGCCATGTCGGGTTTGGAAGGGGCTCGTGTGTTGGACTGGCTGGCGGCTGACTGATTTTTGTCCGGACTGCATTAGCAGTAGCTTACCCAGGGGAGAAAAAAAAAAAAAAAAGTCCTGGAGAGGGGCCCGAAAAAACACCCAGGAGATCACAGCGTCACAGGACTGTTTAGGTTGGAGAAGACCTTTAAGATCATCAAGTCCAACTGTTATGCCTGCACATTCCCCAACAGCCACCTTCCTCCTCAAGGGCCCTGCACCCAGCAGGATGGCTCAGCACAACACTGGAGCGAGGCAAGAAACCCAAAGCCATTTTATAATTAAACTGCTCCAGGTGCCAGATGGGCACTGCAGCAGGTTCGGTAATTTCTGAGCTATTCTCTAACTAACAGGTTTCTTTTAGCCATTCATCTTGCTCAGGTAGATCAAGAGGGCTTTCTAAATGGATGCTAGGGACAACGCAAACAAGAGCAGAGCTGTTTCCTTGAGGGCTTATTAGAAAAGCAGCCTCCTGTGGTCCCAGGCAAACCCAAACCAACCAGTTGTGCTGTGTGGGTGCCCCTCACCAACGCACAAAACGCTCCTGATGCTTGTCAGCTGCGAAAGGCGACCAGATACTCCAGTAAGCTCCAAGGCAGAAGATCTGTGCTAGATAGCCCACCAGTGGGCCTCGCAACTACCCTCAGATGCAGGCACAGCAAGCAAGGGCTTAAGCGTGGTTTCCCATTTGTGAGAAATTAAGCCTCAAGCTTAACAAAGGCAGATGGAAGGAGCAACAGGACAACAGAGTAACAAATAAACCCGCCGCTCCGTACTCTTCCCACAGCACCCGTCAGCCTGCGCCTGCCACCTGAGGCAGAGCAGCCTAAGGAGGACACTCGAGGCTCGAAGGTGCGGCGCTGAAGAGGAGTCTGTCCACAGCTTGCTTACACACAACCTGGCCTCAGGCAGAAAGCAGGCAAGACTGAGGAACGCAGGGACTCACCGTGAAATTTCTTGTCCAAGATCATCTGTGACAGTTTCCTTTCTACCTCAGCCTGGAATTGAAGCAGAAAAATTGAAAGCCTCCTGGAACTATATAAAGAAAAGCAAATTTTACTACTGCACTCTCAACAGCCTGGGATATAAGCACTGCTCAGAAGCAGCTATTTTATCACTGAACATGATGTCAGAACAGATCCCTCCTTGCACGCTGCTTTGATACTACTGTGCGCTTTAGATGACATCAGAAACTAAGCAGTAGCTTTTAATGATGGGAGCACGAGGATGTCTTGCCCTCTTGTTCCACAGAAGACGGTGGATCACTTCATACAGGCATTAGAACCACAGAATCGTTTGGGTTGGAAAAGACCTTTAAGATCATCAAACCCAACCCTGCCATCCCACCACTAAACCCTGGCCCTAAGCACCTCGTCTGCCCAGCTTTTAAATCCCCCCAGGGATGGGGACCCTTCCCTGGGCAGCCCCTTCCAGTGCCTGACAGCCCTTTCGGGGAAGGAATTTTTCCCAATGTCCAACCTAAACCTGCCCTGGCATAACGCAAGGCCATTTCCCCTCGTCCCATCGCCCGTTCCCTGGGAGCAGAGACCGACCCCCACCTCACTACAACCTCCTTTCAGGCAGTTGTGGAGGGCGATAAGGTCTCCCCCTCAGCCTCCTCTTCTCCTTGTTCGGGGGTTTGGGGCACGCTAGCTTGGTTCAGCAAATATTTAGTCAAGTGTTGGCCAAGCTCCATTTAAGCTGCTCTGTACCGAGCTGACCTTGTGCACGGTGCCAGGCAGGGCCCCACCAGTCAGGTCATCTTCTCTTTGGACAGAGGACACACAGCCATGGTTGAGAAACAACTGCAGTCCAGCTTTTACTCAAACTGTGTTAAACACCAAGGGCTAGGCTAGGAAAGGACTGCACAGATAGAAGAGCAGGACAGATGAGGTAACGACCATAAAGGCCGAGCTCAGGACACGTCCAAACCTCCAGTCTTAATGGCAATGTGGGAGAAAAGCACTTTGGGATGCAACTGGCTGTGACTACAGTGGATTTTCCTAAAACTTAATCTGGTTGGGATTATCTGTAAAGCAGTTATTGCAATAGTCAATGTGACATATGCATCCCTAATGAAACTTCAATCAAAGCGATTAGCTAGATCCTGTATCTTACGGGTCTAAGATTCCTCTGGGCACGCTCACAAGGATTAAATGCAGGTCAACAGGGAAGACTGAGATGTTATTACAGCAGAGGAAAATCTGTCTCCAATAAAAAGCAAGTGCTAAGACAGGGTGATGGAAGGTAATGCCGCAGCAAAGCCCTAGTGCAGAGGAAGCCTGTCCGATGGCTCCTGGAAACGGCCCGTGTTGAAGTTGAAGTTCCCAAAAGTGATATGTGCCTGTAAATGCTGTGGAACTGACCTGTCAGGTTTAATAGCCTACGTTTATTTCCCAGTGGCAAATGGCATTTGGCCCCAAATCCTTTGCCCTCTTAAGATGCGCCACTAATTTCTAGTGATGTTCTTACCTTTGAGAGCTTGATGAGGCTGGATATGTGTTCAATCTATAAGAGAGACCAACAGAGTTAGGTAAATCTTTAGTTGTACTTCTGACATGCAACATGAAGGTTCTTCCAAGGAACAGCTCAAGGGCCTGTAAAAGCTCTGGCCTAAAAATTTCCAATGGGTCCCTCCACTCCGCAGCTTCGTGTCCTTCAGATTTCAAATCCAATTTTAAGTGAAGATGGACTAGACACCTAAAGCAATTTCACTCTGAAACATGAAATAACATTTCCTCTCCAATATCACTGCAGCTTTACCCTGTCAGAGCCCTTAAAAGCCAAACACCTTCAGTGTTAAAAGCACATCCGCCTTTCAGTGTGCATTAAGCAAAACAGGTGGAAAGGGCAATGACTCTGGAACATAGTTTTCCAAAGCTCCCCTCAGCTCCCTCCTGATCATTTTTCAGCTGAACATGATGAACCCTGAGCTCTGAAAGCATGGACCAGCTCTGAGTAAGAAGTACCCTGTATGGGAACAAGTCCCTCACCCACCACAGCAGGGGACGGAAGCACCAGCGTGTCAACGTGCTTGCTGGAAACATTTACCTGTACTCTGGAGAAGGGTTCGATGACTCTGATCAGATTCTGTTCCAATAAGTTATCGTAGAGCTTAGCCAAGTGAGTGTTTATGATGGGGTCGTCCCTGAGCTCCACCTTATAGTCTGTCAGAGCCTGCGGAAGAACAAATAATTCCGGTAGCAACAGGTCTCCTGTCCTCAAGGCCCTCTGGGTATGACAGTCTTCCCTCCCTGCCCAGCAAAGTATCAGTGGTTAATCCAATCCTGTAACTTAGCTAAAAGGCCAGGAGGTCATGACAGCCCATCAGCCTTTCCAGCACCATGCAGCAAGCAGCCTTCATCTTTACACGGCTGGAGCTTAGCAAGCCAGAATCTCTGGTTTACAGTCAGAAGACAGCGTGACAGGATTGTTCCCTGGCATGGGGATCCTCTCCATTATCCCTGCGGTGTTCTTGCTGAAGCCAGGGAAAATTTTAGTAAGATATACATGCCAGTGAACAGCACCAGAAGTACAGGAAACTGCTTCTGAGTTCACTCTCTCTCAAAAAAAAAAGGGAAAAAAAAAAAAAACCACAAAAACCTCGTTTCAAGCAAGCTTACTCCCCGTGCTGCAAAAACCAAACCGTCTGATGGTTGTGGGGTGCACTGCGCTTGATGCACTGTTGCTTTCTGTGAATATTTTTAGGGTTTCCCGCTGTGGGATGTAACAGCTCCTCCAACTTTCCAAAATTGGTATTTCTGAATGTTTTGTCCAGCCAGGCCCCATTTTTTTATCCGTCTCCTGACTCACCTTTTCAAAGTCTGCCAGCGATCGGTTCTTACTGGCCTGTGCCACACATTTTAGTGCTTCTGTCTGCAGAGAAAGAAAATTAGAAGTTATTTTTCTGGATTCTCTTCTCCGTGCTGTTATGCCAACTGTGCAGTATACTGAAAACGTGCTTAAGCAGCAAAGGGGGAATGTTCCTTTTGCTACAAAGCCGTGTCGGCGCTGCTTCCACACAGGCAGAGTAAGAACAGCTGCTAATAAGGAGACCATGCAAGACAGCTGCAGGATGCAGCATGAAATCGGCTTCACGGAAACAAAGAACTCAAGTTTTGCAAGGTTTGAGAGTACCAGCTGCAGTTCCTATCAGGTTGCACATTGGGAGCAAGTTTGATACAATTTTTAAGGAAAGTGCACAGTTTGGCAATTGCTTAATGAACGTGGCCATTCTCAGCCTTTAAGCTGTGTTTCTGCCCTTCAGCATGCCACACAGCTTCTGCTGAGTGACAGAAGCACAGCAGAAGTCCTACAGATACCCTATCACGGACAGCATCAGGAAACATTTCTTGTCTACCCCGCAGCTGCTCAAACAAAGCACAAGACCCAGCCGCAACCAAACTGCCCTATTTACACCAAACAGAATAGTAACATCACTAGGAGAACAGCTTCCAAGTGGTGAGAGGCACAAGTGCACGAGAGAAGCGGGACAGCTCAGTGGCTATGGTGCACAAGGCTCAGGCTTCCGCTGCCATCTCTCCCACCGAGCTGTCCCCAAGGCTGCTGGCTTTCTCTTTGCTCCCTAAGCTCAGATTCCACAGCTGCTGCAGGAACTTGCGATCGCTGCTGTCTCAGGAGGACAGTGCAGGGAACAGCTGAGATTTCCTCCACGGGGGACTGCCCTCCTGCTCTGAAAAGGAGCCTCCAACCCAGCTGTCACTCAGGGGATGGGGATGAAGCAGGACCAGGGCTGCCCTTTGTGATCCAGCAGGGATAACGCAGGGATGTTCCCACTTCAGACTCTTTTCTATGCATGTACACCCACTGACCTCCTCTACTAAACCAATCCTCTGTGAGGTAGGCAAGTATTAGCTGCTGCGTCAAAGTAAATAGCTGGCTGACCAAAGCCACCTCAGCCACACTGAGGGCATCAGTGTGTAAGCCCGGCTCAGACCCTGGCACGCTTGGCTTTTGGCCCTGTACTTTATATAAGCATCCCTGGATTTAATACGGGGGTGGCATTCACAGCCTGGCAAGTTAACATGTTAGAATAAACAGTTGATTTAACAACTCCCCAGCTGCCTGGCTTCCACCTTACAGCCATCTAGGTCTCAAGCTGCTCAGCTACACTGCTATGAATGGATTTTCAGGACTTGCTACACCACCAGTAAAAACAACGAATAACTCGGATTTAAATCCATCAGATCCATGGCTGCTGAGCCGCTGACGAGGGTTGAGACATAAGTACCTTATGGCACTAGGCATTTAGGAGTTCATGAAGAAAGCAGGAAGGAGAAAAACAGAGAAAATGAAATGAGCAGGCCAGATTCTCAGGTGGTTAAAGTCATTATATTCCCTTTGAAGACAATTAACTTATGGTAATTACTTATGGTCATTTAATCAGTTCTGGATCTCGTTCAGGACACTCACAAGTGACGAGTATTTTGGTATGAAAAGAACAAAGTATTTGACAAAAACAGTAACACAACAATCTCAGAGATAACAGGAAGATAGAAAGGATTAAGTTTTTATACCTGTCTTCCTGCATACCGCAGAGCAAGCTTTCCACTCACTAACGCTTGCACATCTTCTGGGCTAGAGACGGGAGGGAAGGGAAGAGAGCATTTATTCAACAATATGGTCAGCTTAAATGTAAGCATGCCTCAAAAATTCCCAATTAATAGCAAATCACTACAATTCAAATAACATTGTATCCGCAGCATTGATTAGGTGATAAAGACAAACAGCAAAGCTTGTCTGCTCGAGTTCTTTCATTAGTTTAGAGTCTTATAAACAAAAAGCCTTTCCCATTTAAATGTAGGAAGTGTTCTTCGCAGAACCATTTGTCACGTACATGTTCAGCATGATTTTGCACAGCAACATGTATTTCAGTGCAGTGATGGCTTTTGGGTTGTCAATCGAATCATATCCTTCAAATGCCTCATAAAAATACGAGTAGGCTGTTTTCCAGTCCTTCTCTTCTGCTGCATGGATAATACCTGTTGAGAGGAACAAACAGGCAGGCATCAGAGTTGATTCAGAATGTGACCGGAAGAGGACAGAACAATTTGCTTGCCCAGTGCTTTATCTGGCACTTCAGTAACGGGAATCCTTTCTTTCTATCAGAAGAACATCCATGCCCTCTTCTAAGGGGACACGTTAAGACAGACAAGTTTGGGGCACTTCAGGCAAGTGCCTGCAAATGAGGTCAGGAACAACGTTAGAGTTACACTAACATGGTGTAGTGCTGTAGGGTCTAGGGAGGTTACGGACCCTGCACCATCAGAGATTTTCAAAAACAGGCTGAAAAAACTTGTGTCAGGAGCAATGTAATTACAGCTGATCCTGCCTTGAGGTCGCTGGGCAGACTGGTAGGTAGCTTGAGGTCCCACCTAGCATCATTTTCTGTGATTCACTCAGGAAAGAACAAATATCAGTCAACTGATGCATCGTGATGTAGTCCCGGACTTTCCCCTTCTCCAGAAGGGCTTTACCTGACTGCATGTCTAACGCTGCCTGCAGCTTCGGTGGACAGTAGATTGCGTTGGCTGTAGTCCGTGCAGAGGTTAAGGCTGCTCTTGCTTTTGGCAGATTGCTCAGGGCATGGTAAGTCTTACTTTCTAACAGCTGTACTTCCACCAGCAATGCCTTGTCGTCCATCTTTTTCAATTCCCGAAGAAGCTGGGAGCCTAGCAGCAGGGAAGAACAAGAACCTTTGTAACCTGCTCTGCTATCAACAGCTTCACAAACCAAGCCTTTCCAGGTGATGCCCTTCTTCCTCCACAGCAGCACTGGCTTTGAGGAAGGGAGGCGAGGCTTACGCAACCTGCTCTTCCAAGAAGGAGCAAAAGAGAGGAAATAGTATCAGGTCAGTGTCAGTCCACAGTTGGAGAAGAATGAACCAGTTCAGTGTTAGAAGTGGAAGAGTGCAGTGAAAATACTTGGGGAAGTGGACAGCGTCTCTCTGCCACCTCACCACGGGCAGCAGACAGCAGAAAGTCAAGGATGAGTTGTGCAGTTCAGACAGTCACTCTGGTACCCCCTTCCCCAGACGACAGCATGATTTACCACTCACATTCCGTGCTCTGAGCAAACCTGAAGTACTGCCCATTCCTGCATCATTCCCCTAGGGTGAGACCTGAAGATTTTCAAGCAACCCCTAAGAATATAGGATGAGGAAGGAATGTTTTAAGCACAAGACATCTACAGATCAAATTTAGGAGGTAGGAACGGACAGCCTAAGAAACGCCTGGACAAACTGCCACATTAAAGCCTTGTGAGGACAGAAAGACCCAGCCTTAGAGGAAACTTTTCCTCTTCTTTTCTCCCGGCTGCGAACTAAAGAGCTAACTTGGGGCAGGCAGAAATGAGAACTTCATCCTCACTTGCTATGCTTAGAAGCTGAAAACTGCAGCTGAAACTGCAGAACTGGGTGGAAGAGCATGGACCCTCCCTAGAAACATCCCGTAAAGACTCTGCTTGCACCTACTCCCTGCAACCACAAACATAACTGTGTCTTGGCCAGCCACACAGAAATGCTAGCGCACAACACTGACATCTCAACAGAGCTTTCAGAGAGACTGTCCTATAGGTACAGGCTTTTACAACTCCCTAAGCTGTGCCACTATCGTTAATTAATTAAGCATAGCTCTGGAGTGTGGATTCTGATCAGTTTAAACCTGAGCTCATTACATATCCGTATGCAAACTAATTCTAATTTGATATTGAATTCCATGTATCAGAGCACTTAACATAACTTGATATTCTGATCAGATACGAGTCGCCCAGGTGACTCTGGACATGACACACGCTCTTGCCACCACACCATTTAAGAAGTTCCAGGTCCCTGGTGAGGCATCACCACTGCCCGGGTGAGCACTTCCGCCCGTGTCAGCGCAGTCATCCCTCAGCCCCGCTCACACCCAGGCCCTGAGCTGGCAGAGCGGTCCTTAGCCAGCTTAAACCTCACCTTGCGTTGCAGCGGTCATTTGCAAAATGAGCATTTGAAAAGCACCGAAGGGAGTTGGGCCCTGTATGATGACCTGCTTTACTCTGCTTTGTAGCAGAGCAGGATTGTTCACATGGTTAATTACCATACCTCAGGTGGTGCAGAAGCGAATTCTTAAAGCCTTTATACTACTTCACAAGAGCTTGTCTAATTACCTCCTTAGAGGTTTGCCATTTCCTGGCATTACTACTGCTTTTATTGAGGGCGTATTTGAGCAAACTGAAGCAAGCTTCAACACCTCTGACCACAGCAGTACACTACATGTGTTCCAGCATGAGCCAAACCTGATGGCCTTCAACTGGATACAGCTCCTCCTTGCTTCGAAAATCATTTGAAATGAACAAATGGTGAGGACAAAGAAATCTCTCAAAGTTTTTATCGTCAAGCTATAGTAAAAGATGGCAGATCTGGTACAGCTGAGAAATTAATGCCCCAGCCCTACAAAACTTGTCAAAGAACATGACGTAGTTGATCATTTCCCTCGGCAGCCTCAAGACAAATTCCAAAGCAAAGAACTACTACCACCACCTAGTGGGAGACTTACCTAGCTGCAGCGCTTCTTGGTACCTCTTGGTATCGAAGTACAAAGAGACCAGCCTCGCCTGAAGAACAGAAAAGGAACTGCTGTGAGGAAAGCCAGAGAAAGGTAGTACAGATTTATTTTGTAAAATGAAACTTTATATTCCTATCTGCACAGACATCACTAAATTAGTTTGCGTTCATTACATCACACGGTCCGATTCTGCAAGATCTATCAGTTGGGGAGTTGGCTAGATTGACACACAGCAGGTATGATCCTGCCTGTTCAAGGACAGTTGCTAACTTTAGTGTAATTGTTATCGCCCGTCCACTACACCTACAAAGATCTGGACAACATGCTACAAATTCTCTACTTTTATAGGTGTTAAATGCAATAAAGGGAAGATGCTGTTACACGGGTTTGGGATCCACAGTGTAACATACCTCCAGCGCCTGGCGTAGGAAAGTCCTCTTCTCTGATTTGGCCCATTCAATACACTCTAAACACAGGTCAACCTTAAAGGGAGCAGAAAGAAATTTGTAAAGGCTTCTGCTGCCCCTCTTTAAAACAGCAGTATGGTTCAATCATTTCCTACAAAGCAATAAAAATACAACAAAGCCTGAATCTCCACAACATAGTTTAAGAAAAGAAGTAATTTCTGTCCTAACAGCAACATCGCTAAGCATCAAATTAGCTTTACTTTAAAATAGCCCTCAGATTAGCCTTCACCATCAGTGCCTACCCCAAAGGTCTCTGATCAACACCTTTAATATTACCAGGGTAGAGCGCAGTTCACTGTTGATGAGAATTGTAGCCCAACAGCAGAGGTTAAGTGATTTCTCCTCAGCGAGGACGCACTGGTAACCACACACGATATGCTTTAGCCTCAGGCTGCATCATGTTGACACCAGACTTAAATGATACAGAACTCTATAGCGTACGCTACATATTTTCATATTCTATTTGCTAGATTAACTTCCTGCACTTTGTAACAACGTTCACAGCATTATACTTTTTCTAATACATATTGCAAGAGAAAGTAAACTTCAGAAGGCAAACTAAGGTTTAGTTTAAGTTTGAGCCATCACAAAACCCCCAAAACACCATCTTCTTTGATTGCTTTTCTAATGCATTTGGCTTCCAGTAACTTTTTCTGACCACGAGGGACAATCCTCCCACACTGGAATATGAAAATAAAGATTTGGCTTCCAAAGTTTCACTGGTAAAAATTACTGCTGAAATCCTAATAGCATTTCTTAAACAGCTGTGTTTTTGTTTGAAATAAAAACATCTGGGTACATGAGAACTGATTCTACCTTAGGGCAAGGGATGAACTAAAAGACTCTGAGGTCCCTTCCAGCATGTTTTGCACCATTTCATTAAGTGATAGAGAGAATTGTGTTTTCAATTGCTCTAGAAAGAAAAGAAAATGAAGTGCACGTTATTAGGGTCTAAATATGTCAGACCATGTGTGTCCTTCAGCAGCATAAAGCAACAAAGGTGCTGGGCTCCACCAGGAGCCAGCAAGTAAGTGACACCGGGTGTTTTATCTGTCACTTCAAAGCAGAGTAAAGGAACCCAGAAGCTTCTCACATTTTTAAGACTGCCATGATTCCCTTGATGAATAAAGGAGTCATGTTCCACCCCAATTTGAAGAGGGCGTCGATTTAGGACTGGCCAGTAACATGGAGTAAGTCATGCTGAGGTGCTAGGCTCAGGAATGCTTTTTCCCAAAATCTCTGGATCGCAGCTCTTTCCGGAGCAGCTCTGTAGCTGTACTACACTGCAGGACTTGTCAGCTCCTCATCACTGCTTAGTAAACGGGGACATTTTATGAAAAGCCATTATGAAGTCGCAGTTTATTGCACAGCGATAGCTGGAGCATTAGGAGCTGGAGAAACCTCTAATCTCATTGCTTTACTGGGCTCCTGGGAGTCTTCTTACTATATGTTACACTGAGGAAGCAAATGTCCCTCTGAACATTGCTGAGGCACTGAAAGTATTTAGGATTACTGCATCAAGAACCTCACAGGTTAGGTGATGTAATTCCTTAAGGTTTGGGGTTTGGCTTCTGAATGTGCTTGAAAGTGGATGTTTTGACTAACTGGGCCAGATTTCACTGTTACTCCAAGTTCTTCCCCTGCAGTAAAATGCCACCTTTTGGGATTGCATCCAAATATTGTCATTACATCAAAGTACCTTTAGAAAAAGCCTGAAGCTACTCATTTTCTCTTCAATCCCTTTAGGGCTTCCCTTCTCACCTGCACATCCCACCCTGCTTCCCTTAATCTCTTCTGTTAAAGAGGGGCAAAAGACTCTGCCTGTCACCGTGTAAGGTACCATGACACGCAAGCCACGGGAACGAGTAACATTTGCTAATTACCTTAACTACAGGATGATACTTCTGCACTGATTTGGCTAACGAGAATGCCACCTGCCTTCTACATGGCAGAACCTCTTCTAGGCTGTAATTTGTCAGTCACGGTGTGCACAGTGTTACGCGGGCTTTGTCCTTACCCTGTTGCTCAGATCCTCCCTTCTTCCCCTCTCCATCTAACTGCTTTGGTGTGCCACTACAACCTACACTACCGCTGGTCAGCACCTCCTACAAGTGGCTCCTCATTATTTACATTTACAAGTTGCTCCTGTCCTCCTCCCATTCCCAAGCAGCCAAGTCATGGGGTGAGTGGGGAACACAAAAAAAGACCAAAAAAAAAAGAAAGCCAAGTGTATTCTAGGGAGCTAATGAGAACAGAGTAAATCCTAACTGGGGACTATCTGAGACCGAATGGGTTTTCTAGTGGAGAATTTCATCCACTGGAAGCAGTTTACATGTGGTAGCTGCAAAACTTTCTCCACTCCCACATCAGGAGTAACTTTCATGCCTCAGAAGCCATCTGTAGAGTAAGACACCCACCACGCAACACGCCTTCATGTCTCCAGTTGAAAGATGCTAAGTAATACTCACCATCTAATCCCACCAACTCCTGAACAGACCTAGAACACTCCCTCCTCTAGCTCCAATGCCATCACACACTGCCTCCACCTTTCCACTAGACCGAGCTCCCTGGAACACGTGTAGCACCTTTCACCCCTTATATCCTAAACGCTAATCGCACTACCAAACACCACTAAGGCCGTGCACCTAACAGCAAGCAACACAAACTGAAGAAAAATGCCCAGGGTGAGAGCTACTCCTACCCTGCAGCAGGATGAGTCTTGCAGAAAAGCATGGTTAGGAGTGAACTAAGTTATCTAATATTTTATTAATAGAATATATCCAAATGCATTGAATTAATGTTTCCCGACATGAATAATTCTTCAGTATGAAGCAAAGTAGGTCAGATAATGGTGTTACAGGCTTTTGAGGAATGCGCTAGCGCCAAAATGTTAATCTCACCTCCTGTCCTGTTGCTGCCTCCATGTCAAGGAACAGATCGAGCAGAGATCGGACTAAGCGGGCTGCCTTTGCTTTGCTGATGGAGTTCAAGAAAGGTCGAACATATTTCAGAAGTCCTCCCAGCTCTGCATACAAGAAAAAACAAACCGTGAAATACAACCACACAGCCAAAAGTTACACCGCAGATGGGAATACCCGACACGTCTATACACAGCAATATTTATTACAGCAAACATTTTATAAGCAGTCTCTCAACCTCATTTACAGGAAAAGAGCGATAAACATCACCCGAAGGAACGCCTTGCAGTAAACACGGGGACTGGCAAAGGTGACTGGTGGGCCCCAGTCTCACCCGCACAGCATTCGCTTCCCATGACTTCAGTTCAGCCAATTGTAACACCATTTGTAACTATGCTTGCCTCAGGCACATTTTAAAAATGTAAGCATCTGCTAAATGCTTTGAGATTTTTCTATAAAACGGGCAATGGAGTTTCTAGTCTAAGCGTGTTTTTATTAACTCACAGTTTGACGTTCTAGTCTGCCATAACTAGCCAGCCCTAGAAAGTCAGACACCCCGTGCACTCCGCTGCTGAAAAAATGACATTTTTTAACACTTCAACTACCCACATCACCTAATTAGATCTTACCTTACTTAACTAGATTTCTGTTTCTACAAGTCTCCTTACTAGTTTACAGCCATAAAGCTAGTCTCAAGCTCAGAAAGGAGAAGTCTATCTTTATGAAGAAATACACCAAAACTGCCCCATTCCTACAGAGCGAAGGAACGCGGCAGTCAACGTCACCGCAGTGTCAGGGCTCGGTGTTGCAGAAGCTGTTGGAGTTACGTGTTGGAATCGCACAGCACAAGTTAAAAGTCTTCTCCTGCGATAAGCAACACGCGGCGGTCGGGCCAGGTTGCACTGATGGCTGTTTACAGTTGGGGGAAGATGATACCTCCAGCAGACCAGCACCGCGCCAGCGCAGGGCTCAGCACTGACTTGTGAAGTAGAAGGGTCGTACACTGAAATCACAGCTTTTTTTCCCCAGAATTTTATGTCTCACCCAAACATCAGCTAGATCTTGCACTAACGTGTTTACAATATTTGATAATAAAAAAAAAAATAAATCCCAAAATAAAACCTGCAATGAGTATTTCAGCAATTTTCAATATACTCTATACCAAGCTGGTATTGGACTCAAAACTAAAATAAGAGACTAATCTAATTTTATTTCAATTAGTATACAGAGGAGCATCAACAGAATTTCAGTTTGGGAGGATTCCAATAAAAACAGTTGCAAACAAGATTTCTTTCATAGTTCATTTAGCTGTAATGCAGAAGAATTGTTGTAAGAACACCTTAATGATATCTAAAAATTATTCCTTATATTTTTTACTTTTTCAACCTATTTATTTTAGAAGTTTAATCAAGCCTGACACAATTCATTTCTTACACTGGTAAGAAGGAAAACTGAGAGTGTGTTCCAATCCAGCTGCTCATGGTGATGTACTGACGTTTTCATACATCTGAAAGCACAGTTTTAGTACAAATGAAACTTATCTCGAGCATGCCCTGAGTCCTTAGGGAAGCCTTATTTTCCAAACAGCAGCGCAACAACATATCGCGACTCTTACTACAATGAACCACTCAGGCTTCGCAGAAAGAACAGAACGAGACGCTATGACTGCCATGCCTAAGATTTCCTCAAAGTTTTACTTTCTGTCTGAGAAGAAACAGGCAGGTTCTTCTAGAACTGAGGTACAGCTACTTCAATATTGAGCCCCACTGACTGACCGTTTCAATCAGCGCTCAGCTTTTACTCAACGAGGAACTGTTACCTACTGCACCGTGGCAGACGATGGCTTTACCCACACCGCCTTCATTCTGAGCAGCGTGCAATCTGCAGCACCACTCATGGATGCAAATCCAAACCATTTTAATCAAAGTCAAACACTTTGGTTTGACGTACAGTAAACAGACTACCACAACAGCAGCAGACAGCTGCTTCCAACACATGGCTTTTGCACAGAGCTACTCTCAAGCATCCCTCCTCTCGACATGAGCTGAGAAAGGTGGGCTCCAGATCACCTTGCTGGGCTCAGAAGAGATGCAGCACTAAAGCTGGAGTCACCCAGAAATTGGTTCTTGTGCTCTTCCCTGATGCAACCAACACAAGCACTTGAAAACACCGCACTTAACACCAGGAACGAGTCCGCTTCTCATCAGGCCACAGCACTGCACCCTTAGCTTTGAGCTCTGTAACTAAGGATTTGCCAGTCTTTCCGCCTGACTTATCAAGGCAGCAAGACTCTCTCCAAAATCCATCAACTCTTAAGTACCAAGGTACTTCATACTGTGCATCGCTGCTTCTTGGGACCAACTGTATCATGTTTGTAGTGCACAATGCACTCTCCCACGTGGGAAAGGAACTTCAGAAGAAAAGAAAGGAAAAACGACATGAAATACACTGCAGCACTTCTCCTTCTCTCGACTTGCTCAACAGCTGCCCAAGAATTCACTAGAAAGCAGATTTAAAATCAACAGTTAAAATATCCCTACATTTTGCAAACTACACATTTAGACACGCAAGCTCAAAATTCCCATAGAAATTTCTCCTTCTTACCAATATAACTGTCAACTATTTTTAGGACTACTTTTTTTTTTTTTTTTTAAGTAAATGCAATGCTTGGTAATGGTGTGATTGACAGCTCTAGAGAAGTGATGAGCAGCCACTCTGGAAAACGAAGTCTGCTGCTCATCCTCAAAGAAAGCACGTCCCCAAGCTAACATGCCATGTACCCAAATACCTGATCCAAGTTATTCCAATCCTATAGTTTTAAGCCATGCTATAAAAATCTAGCAATGTCCTATAAAAAAAAAAAAGTAATTGATCTACCAGTTCAATCCTTAATCTCTATGAAGCAGATAAAGCAGGTCATTTGTATTATCGTTATTTTTTTTAAACAAAGGCCATAGTTCACTAGAGGTTAGTCCTCTAAAAACTACAGATTCATCTTACGCTCTCAGCCAGTCAGCAGCAGAGCAGTAACTTGTACTTCTTGTAATTTTCAAATCTCACCAAACTGCAGCTGGTTTCTTCCCTAGGCTGCAGCTCACAGACCCTTTCACCTTTGGGAAGTCAGAGCTTGGAAGTAGCCAACAAGCCACTGCAACACCTAGAATGTGTCAAAGCAATTCCGCTAGCTAAAATTAAAACGTGCGCAGCAAAAGCTACAACGATGAGATCCACTTCACTCAGGCCAGAAACTGCACAGTCTCAGTAATTTCCTCGTTGGGTTTAGCAGCACCAGATTCAGTCCCCATGGATATGAAGATCCATGTGCCTGCTGGGTGCTAGCACCTTTGTGAACGGTTGCACCCGGTGAAGACGCTGCTGACCCTGACCACTTGTCACTCCTACCAGTCTACTTCACCCCTGAAAGCAGACAGAAAGGGAAGGTGACAGCACCTTTCCCACAGGAGTAGCACATCTCTAAGCTGTGGAATCCCCTTCCTTCATCCCCCAGCTTCGCCACACATCTCCAGAAAGCACAACCTGGTGATCTCGCTCCGATCTACACACACGCACAACTGGCTTCTTAATGTTGCCAAACTCATTTTCTTCTATTCAGAATATATTTGCTCTGCAGTTTAGTGTTCCCTCGAACACATCTCAAATTTCACACTCGCTCCTTCATAAACTTGGTTTTGATGAGTTAGCATTGTCATTTTCAATTCCTTAGGCTTCCCCTTAAAAAAAAAAAAAAACAAACAAAATCTATTAGCTAGCCACCCTCTGAGAATACACTGAAGTTCTTTATACTCCTGTAAGGTTTCAGTTTAAACTCAGAACTACTCCAAGTTCTGCAGCGGTAAGGAGGCAATCATGCACCTAACGACTCTAGGGCTTATGCACGCCAGCAGCACATCCACACCTAGACTTGAAGAGACTCTTCTGATGATTTCCACCTTTTTAGCTCAACCACACACACCTGCCTTGGTGCAGGAGCAAAGCCACGTTTAGTTCTCTCTACAGAAGCAAACGTCAGAGCGCAAAGGGCACCCCTACAGCACTGACACCTATACCTGAGTTAATTGACTTAAGATCCTTTAGTATTCAATTAGAGAAACAGGCACTTGTACAGCAGGCTTCGTTTGTCCTGCTCCAAATTCTCACTGTAGGAAGAGAGGAATCATGTGGTGGAAGGATTTATTTTTCTCCACTAACTATAAAAGCAGTCCACACCAGGAAATCAGACGTGGACATCTATAGTTAGGTGAGATGAATAGCACCTTTGTTTCCAGCACTGCTCTAAGTGCAAGTAATCTACTTTGTCACAAGCTCTGTTCAATTGCAAATCACAGTGGGACCACAGTCCAGAATGCTCAAACACATCTAGACGTGGGTAGATCAGTTAAATGGCCATGTCAAAATAGATGTTTACAAAGACTGGCCAGTAGGACACCAAGTGTGCATTTCAGAATAAATATAAAACTGCGATCGCGATCAGCTGCTCTCTGAGACCTCATACTACTTTCCACAAACCACTCTAACATTAGGTCTGGCGTCCCAGTCGAATTTCAGTTTGATTAAACCTTCTACTGGCCTGTTTTCCCCAACCAGTTTCCGACTGTTAAAAGCACACATGCTTCACTTCACATTCTGAATTACTGCTGTACACAGTTAGAAAACATCAGGGCTATACCATGGCCAACTGTCTGCCATGGACAGAACGCTCTTTGTACGGATGTGGTGTATCAGTTCCTAAAATGCTTGAGGTGAAAAGGTGCTCCAGAAAAGGCAAAAGCATTCTTCAGCAAAAGAAACAAAGCTAAACTGCTGAGTACAAAACAACAAACATGCTGCCTTGAGCTTTCCAGGAAACAGAAGACGTGAACAGATTCAACTCAAAAATCACTGAATGGAGAACTTTACTCCATTTCTGTCCTTTCACACATTCACAATAGGAGGACTGTCAAAGTCTTGCTCTTGTGAGGAGCTGGGCAAGGATTTTCTGATGTAATGTTTCAGCAGATAAATCAAGTAATTGAGAAAGAAGCTGCTGGTGAGAAAAGACTTTTTGGGACAAGCTTTCCAATTTGAAACAAGGTTCTGAGATTATTAAAAACAAACCAAGAGAAACTTCTCATCTCAAGCATGACAACAAAACTTGAGTCACTTGTGGCCACACGTTGAAGGGTCATAAACTAAACCATCCAATGCGTGAGCAGTCTTTTGAAACACCGGGACAAGTAATGCGAGATTAACATTTTATGATGTTTATCTAGTTTTTTAGTTTCCATCCTGTCTCTGAGAGTACATTTCCTGCCAAAAACTTCTTTTTCTTCTACCCCATTAAATAAGGAAACTAAATTCATTTGAACATTTGTATCTCTTAGCCAATACCTCAGTTACTTATCTCAGGCTCACCTTCTGCCTGCCCAGTCTTGGCCAAAAGCGACCCCAGCTCCAGGATGCTCTGCTCTTTGACTTGCACCGCTTCTTCATCATTTTCCTGGACATCGCGTTTCACTAGAAAAGAGCGGGAAAAGTTACCTTGAATGCTATTTCAGTTAGAAGATAATCATTACTAGTCAGCTCTGGGAAAGGCACCAAAAAAAGTAACAGTCATAACAGGCAATAGAGAATTCAGCTTGGCCTTCGAGATCTGGAAGGCAGATTATGTGGAAAGTTTAAATGTACAATTTATAAAGAGTGCCCCGTCTGTACTTCCCGAAGGCTTTAATCCAGCTGACAGATACAACTGCATGCTCCAACTTGACTGTAAGTTCAGTTTTGAAGTAGTCTCATTAAGCTTGTCCAGCTGTTCAAGTTTTATTTGAAAAACACCAGCACCCAACAGACCTTCTCCCACTGAAGCCACAAAACCAAATAGAAGAAATTTAATGGGATTTCCAGGGTTGGGTGTTCTGGTATTAGGATTTCTGATGTTGCTGCTTTGTGCATTAAGTTGTGATCCCACGGTCAAAACACAGTGCAACAACAACAACAACATCTTCGCTCAGCAGCAGATCGGGTGTTAAAACTGCTGCAGGAGTCAGGGCTCCTTCCCACACTGAATTCTGACCATCTAATTGTCACTCTGCATACCAGCGTGAGTAACTCCGGCTCTGAAGTACGCAGAGGGGCCAAATAACATACAGCAGCACCAAACCTGGGTCTACACAACATCAATTTCATAAGTTATCCACAAAACAATACACTTTCTTCCCTGCTACAGGCTACCGTGTAAATATTCATCTCTATCACCCCTGTGCAGGTGAGTTCACCCAACTTCTACACAAAGCCAAAATCTGCTGCCCAGCTCTACAGAGGGAACTGGAATCCTCCACGCTGCCCCTGTGCGCAGACTGTGGCTTTCAGTCCCCAAAATTTAATACACGCGGCATCAAAAGCAAAGTAACTTTGCTCTCAAGCAGAAAAGCATCGCAGCAACACTCTCTGGAGCACTCCAGCTTACACCAACCGGCAACACGAGCTGTTACTCCTGACTGAGCCTGACTGGACGGGAAGTTGTAGGTGTGTTGACAGGCTTGAGAACACCAACTACCCGACTACTAATTAACCAGAGAAACACCGAGAGGGGCAAGCAACTTTTACAGACCATACAGCAACTCCCAAATTCAAGGTCTAGCATTAGGAAATGTTCATTTACCTGACACAGTGGGGTGACAGCAGGTGACAGCATCCTTCCAGAAATCACCATAAGTTATGAGAATCAAGAAATACTCTTTTACATACCCGATTCTAAAGCACCCACTCTCCCTACCCTGCATGCCCAGACCCCCAAATACAGGGGGATGTCCACGTTACGCCCACGAATCACTTTATAGCACCAGCATCTCCTTGGCACTGCTAAATGTCTGGGATGGCCTGACAAGTTAACTGCAGCAAACAGCATCTGTCTCGAAACAAGCAGAAGTTAAAACTCCAGACACAGAACACATGAAAACTCCTCAAAACTTTCTGCGTAGCGCTGCAAAGGTAAATTAAAGAGCGGGTGTATTTTGTTATTATAAGAGGAAATGCCACCACTTCCAGCAGAGTTTTCTCATCCTTCAGCACGCCGAGTACCCGCTGCCGGGCGCCACGACCAGCACAACACCCAGACGCTGCA